AGAGGGGAAGAGAGAGAGAGAAACATCATTGTGAGAGAGAAACATGGGTCTGCTGCCTCCTGCACACCCCCTACTAGGGATCAAGCCCACAACCCAGGCATGTACCCTGACTGGGAATCAAACCAGTGACCTTTTGGTACATGGGATGATGCTCATCCAAGTGAGCCACACTGTCCAGGGCAAGGCCCCCCTTGTTTATATCAGATATATATACACTTTTAGTTCCAGGATCCTCTCCACAATAACACATGACAGTTGTCATGTCTCTCATCTCTGGTCTATGCCAGTTTCTGCCTTTCCTTATTTTTCATGACTTTGACTATGTTAAGAAGTTCTGGTCAAGTATTTCATAGAATGTCGTCAATTTGGTTTGTGTCGTGTTTTTCTCATGGCCCATCTCCTGAGAAGAAAATGAATTCTTTGAAGAAATGAAGAAACTTTCCAGTAAAACAATAGGGAGAAACTATCCTTTTTCTTCCTGCACTATCAAATGGATGAGACCACTTGTAGCCCAAAGACAAAGGAGTTTTTCTCAGCAAAACCAGAATGTTTCCCTTTGGCTGTAATTAGAAATGAGAGGTAATCAGACAAGAGCAGGGCCTGAGTCTGGGAGTAGAGGCACTGGACTTTTGACTTCTGTCCCCACCAGACCAGTTGGTGATCTTGGGCAGGTCTCTGTCCCCTTTCGAGGGCTCTATGAGCAGGGAATTGTCTGAGTATCTGCATCAAACCTGCTCAGATCCTGCAGTGATGGGTGAGAGTAAAGTAGCAGCCATGGCAACTGTATGGCCAACATTCCTGCCACATGTCCGTTATTAACCTGGGAGGGGACCATCAACTTCTTGGCCTCGCCCGGCCGAGCGTGGCTCAGCGGTTGAGCGTCGACCTGGGATCCAGGCGATCGGGGTTTGATTCCTGGTCAGAGCACACCCCAGTTGCGGGCTCGATCAATGACTCTCTCATCATTGATGTTTCTCTCTCTCTCTCTCCCTCTCCTTTCCTCTCTCTGAAATCAATAAAGATATATTTTAAAAAAACAAACTTCTTGGCCTCCCAGACCCTGTTTTCTTATTTTATGGAGCCCCTTAATCGACTGGATGCCCTTTTTTAAAGGTCATCGGGCTTTTTTTGTTATTGCTGGTCCCTTCCCACTTGGTTTCTTCCAGTGTTCAAGTAGCTGGGGGTGAGAGCCAGGTAGGAGGCTGGGGAGCCCTTCTGCGCCACACCAAAAAGTGCGTCCTCCTCAGAAGTCCTCTGCACTCCTTAAATAGTGCTGCCCCCACCACTATGGAAGCCATTACTAAGTGGTGCCAGTTATACCCATTTCATGGCCCTGTGACCCCCAGCCATCGTGACCCAGCCAACTGAAGCAATTTCTCCAATAGTATTACAGAAAATGGGGCAGCTAATGACTTATACAGCATCTCCTCAGGCCAATTAACTCAGTGATCCAATCAAAAAAGTCAGCAGGGCTCATTCCTCTGGTGAACCAGGTGCGACCAGTCCTGCCCCTGACCTCCCTTCCCCCCGTCTTACGGCGAGGTTTTAGGTCTGAGACAGATCTATTACCACTTCTTCCATTTCTCCGGAGCCAGCTGTGTTTCCTTCCCCAATTCTGCTCCGAGAGCAGACAACCAAGGTTCCTGAAGAGCAGGGCTCTGGCATAGGGCATCTCTATTGAGAAGGGAGGGCTGGCGAAACCTGGTGCCTGGGCGTTGGCCCAGAGCCCACCCCCTCAGGCGTCCAGCTGGCTGGTACACTGCAGCCTGAGTCACTCCCCAGCAAGCCCTGGTACGAGCGTGAGAGATGGAGCTCAGCTGGCCCTGGGGGTGAGGAGAGGGCTTGGCAGGAGGCCATCTCCACAGGCATCTAGTTCAATGGCACCAGGCCAGGATTTGGCACCTCAGTTTGGTTCTTTATTGGGAAAGTCTGCCCAATATGGTCCAGTATCTGAACTTGCCCACCTATGAAATAGGATTTGCATAAGATTGGAAGATTACTTGGAAGTTGCTTGTCTGATGCTTATAAGGATCACTCTTGAGGAAGCAGGTACCTAAAAGGTCAGCTTGTAAGGTTTCCCTGTGTGGAAAGGGAAAGGACCAAATGTGGGCAAGCTAGGGGGGACTCTGAGGTCTAATAGGAATCAAAGCTGCCCTTCTTGGTGCATGGGTGTGCCCTTTGAGCAATTTTTTTCTTTTATTGTATAGTATATACACAAAGTAGAGCATAAAACATGAACAGTTTAAAGAATAACTATGAAGTGAATATCAATGTCCCCACCACCCAAGTCAAAAGCTAGAATATTGCCAGTACCCCAAAGCCCCCCAAGTGCTCTTCCCTTGTGAAAAATTCCTCCCTCCTACTACAGGTCATCACCACTTGACTTTATAATAATCATTTCCTTTTCTTTTCCCTTTGTCATCTATATATACCCTCAACAGTAGAGTAGTATTTAACTATATGGAGTCATATCAAATGTATTTTGTGGTTCTTCATTTGTTTAATATCATGAGATGCGCTCATAGTATTGCATATTGATATTGTCGGTTCATTTCCACTGCTGTATAATATTCCATTGTCCATATAAAGTAACCATTCTACTGCTGTATTGCTAGTAGGTAATTATTTTTTCCAAGCTTACTGATATTTCTAGCAAATGGATTGATCCCCAACTCCCATCCCCAGGCTACTGCTACTTCAGGTATATGGGTGAGGGGCAGAGACCAAGTGTGGTCTCATCTTCGACTCTCAGGGCCCATGCTCTCCCTGGCAGCCAGAATTAATACCAACATCCTGTATTTCTTGCAGCTTACCGGGATTGCAGTCCTTTCCATTGGACTATGGCTCCGATTCGACTCTCAGACCAAGAGCATCTTCGAGCAAGAAAACACTCATTCCAGCTTCTACACAGGTGAGCATGGGGAAACTTGGTTCTTCCTCCCACTGTGGAGGAAGGGACTTGGCCTTGGGAAAGACGTTTGCTCTGGCCACATCGGCCAGTCATGTCCCTTTAAGCCTTGCTTTTGTGTAGTTGTGCACATGAATTTGCATTTGACTGATGTGGTTTCTTTTTTCCTGCTGACTAAGTCTGGCCTTTTGAGTATTCTCTGATGTGAAGTTGGCTCCACCAAAGTTGCTGCCACTCTTGAGAGTTTAAGAACCTCTGTTCTGGTCCACAACCCCCTCTTCATTTCATGTCTTCTCAAGCTTAATCATCTCCTGAACTCAAAAAACTTTGTCCTGGGGAATCCACAGTGCCAGGAAAAGGAGAGATCACTCCTCCCCACTGTTCAGATAGGGGCTCTGAGACCCAAAGGACCTGCCTCCTGGGTAAGAACAGTGAAAATTAGTAAGAGACACACTAGAAGAGACACCAGCCCTCTGGACCCCCGGTGCTGGTGCAAAGGCCAAGTGCTTCTGCTTTAGGGAAAAGCTTTCCAATTTAAGCAAGAATTGACTTAGCAGGTTTCTTTGTACACACAGGCTCCTTAGCATTTTTCTAGCATCATTCTGTCACTTTTCACCGCTGTATCACTACATAAATGCCTCCCTAAAACGAGTGGGAGCACCAAGGCCTGTCAAACGCAGTTGCCGGTGTTCTGGGCCGACACAGAATCTGCAGCTCTCCTTTCTGCCTGGTTTAGGAATAGGAAACATTTCATTTTCGAGAAACAAAAGCAACCCCTATTTTTAGGATGGTGGTTGTCATGTCATTAGGCTCAGTGTAAGTTTGGTCACTTCCTTCCCGCCCACCAAAGAAGTTATTTTTAAAAAAAGATGAAGAAAACTGTCTGAAGAGACTTATCGCCCAGATCTTCAGGAAGAATGGGGCAGCTACCCATGTGCAGACCCCCTTCCCACCTCCAGGGGCCAGCCTTGGACAGGTCTGCCCAGCCCGCTTGGTTCCATGGCCCCTGGGCTCTGTGGATGGTTTCCCTACTTTTATTTTTTATTATTATTATTATTTTAATCCTCACCTGAGGATATTTTTTCCATCACTTTTCGGAGAGAGTAGGG